CCCTAACCGCAAGGAACCTTGTCGTCACCGCCAGGAACCTTGTCGTCACCGCCAATAACCTTGTCGTCACCGCCAGAAACCTTGTTCTCACCGTCAGAAACATTGTCCTCACCGCCAGGAACCTTGTCCTCACCGCCAGGAACCTTGTCCTCACCTCCAGGAACCTTGTCCTCAGCGCCAGTAACCTTGTCCTCACCGCCAGGAACCTTGTCCTCACCGCCAGGAACCTTATCCTCATCGCTAGAAACCTTGTCCTCACCGTCTGAAACCTTGTCCTCACCGCCAGGAAACTTGTCCTCACCGCCAAGGTACCTTATGCATGATGACGTCATTAGGTGTGAAACTCGCGGTGAATTCTGGTCTTAGTAATTACTGCGAGAAAACCATAGAGATTATAAAAGAATAGAGTGGGCATTTGTGGAAAAGTTCAGGCAAATGAAAGGGACAAATTGAAGCTGGGGGCAAATTTGAGTTATGACCCGGATGTAAAACCAAGAAATTTTTATCAACAGTCCTGGCTGTTTTACGTTTATTTGTGGCGAAGAATTAAGGAATTTCCGTTTTATATCCTGGAAATTTGGACGTGCCGAAGTTACGAAAAAGCGCCGCTCTTCTACATCGAAAAAAAGCACCTTACAACAGTTCTACCGTTCCAAAACTTGTTTTGTATTAAAGCTTCATTCTTAATTTCATAACAGATCTCATATGACTATGTCATAGATATTAAACTGAACCAGTTTCAGAGGTAGATGCGATACATATTACAAAGATAAAATATCAGATAAACCTTAAAAAGGTGTTTTCGACCTACTCATGTATTTAGTAAGCGTCATGTATTATACATGAGCCCATAGACGGATTTTCTGGGGGGTGCAGGGGGGTGCTACCACCTAATATTAGCTATAACCCCCCCAAACAAAATATCCACCCCTCCAAAAAAATTTTCAACCCCCCCCCCAATATTCGGCATAATAAATAAATAATTAAATAGTCCACTCCAACGTGCAGAGTGTTGATGATTCAAAATAAACGTATAGGAGTACACTCCAACAGAAAAAGACAGTGCAACACTCTGAAACTAATCGCTTCTCGCTTGCATTCACTGGTTTATTGGAGCAATTGTAAAGTTTTGAAACTCTATTATCTTCCCTGAATAGAGTTTGCAGTGCCTTGTCATGCCAATAGCTTGCACGCAAGGAACGTTTGGAACTTTTACGAACACTATTTTTGTTTTTAATTCTTTTAGGAAATAGACTTGCCTAGATTTAATCTTTACACCCCAAATATTATTTGCATCGGAGTTGCATCATAAATTGTACTCGGATTCAAACAATACAATGTCAATGACTTTATAAAAGTAAAAGCATATTGTGTATTGGCCTATTGGGTTTACACTTTTACAGGTTCATTTAACTTTAAGTCTTTAACTTTCTCAAGTCTCAACAGACAATCGGACATGCCAAATCCATTGATATAACAAATTGACAACTTCAAAAAACTTTTTTTCGAAGCTAGAAATCATAGATTTTTTTTCAAATTTTTCCTGGGATACTTTGTTTTCTCTTAAACTCCCCCACGCGACTCTAGTGCTCTACCCCTAGAATCATAGACCTTACTGGGGTTTGGTGACACTTTGTGTTGCTTCAGTCACCTGCTCACGGCTCACCCCCCTAAAATTTCTGGCACCACCCCAGTAATAAATATGAAAATCCGTCTATGATTTAGTATAGTTTTTTTAGTTAAATAGTATAAGTGCACATATTATCACATATTATCATATGTGCACATATTATCACATATTTTTCAGTTTGAGGCCGCCCCCAATTCAGGCAAAAATAGTTGAAGCCGCCCCTTTTTCTCACCAACCGCCCCCCTCCCATTATTAATGACCGGTCCCTAAAGCCAACTCGAACCTGATTGAAGCGAATTTAAGCTCTTTGATTAAAGTATCGTTGTTTTGAGAGTGTTGTATACCCGATTCTTGTCGGGTGATATCGATTACATTCGAAAGAAATGCATTCAAATCAAAAGATCGAGGAAAGTTTTGGGCGCCGTATCCTTCCTTTAATTTTTAATAGTAACCCCAAGAGCCGGCGCGGACGGCCCAATGCTATGCAGGCTAAAAATATAAACAACTATATAACCTGGGGTTCTGTGCTGTGACTCGCAGATTCGCAACTCGCATACTAGACAAACTCTATTTCTACGACCGTACGACGAAATATTGACGAAATTTAACTTTTTCCGAAGACGCAAGTTGTTTTCACTCCCTCCCTGGACAGATGAATTTATTTTTCACGCATTGTTCTACTCAGAAATACCTTTAGAAAGTTTATTTATGATTAAATCCTCGAAAACACTTAGTGCAAAAATCGTGATTCTGCTAAAAAATAGGAAAAAGCTAAATTTTCAACTTAAGATTGTAAAAAATCTAGTCGAGAGCCTCAAAACGAGAGTATCTCTAAATGTTTCTTTATAGATTTCTTAATTCACTAATCAAATATTTTGATATAAAAATACGGGTTGATACCAAAAACGGTACAACCGTTTAATATAGTTTGTACTTAGTGTAAATAGGTGCCTCTGAATATTCGGCTAGAAATTAATTGCATGTGTTTGCTAATCCTGTTTGCAAAAGCATATCCTTTGTAAGACTAGAGTCTATTGATTCAGAAAATATGAGCAGTTTTGAAATCATGCGAATACGTTTTCCTCTCTCGAATTTGGAGGTTTTCCTCTCTCCAATCTCCAAGGGTGATTTATGGCGGTGAAGATTAGCACAATGAAATTAAAAAAAATTAACTTTTTTAAAAATTTTGCCGAGAGCCTCAAACCAAATATGGTTTAAACTGTTCCTTAAAACACATACTTTATATTGGGAGATAATTCAATCTGAAAATACGGAATAGTCGGCGATTTCGACCGGCATTTTTAATTTGAATTGTATTTGGCTAGTTTTGATGCAGTGAAAGGTATCATTCGACAGCTAAAGGCCTGATCTTCATTTGTATGAAAAAAGTAAATGGATACACGTATAATATATAAATAGATATTATAATATTTCGAAATGTACTTTTAATTCTTCATGCACACATGTTTTTAATAGAGTCTCAGGCTCAGCTTGGCGTTCATACGTTAAAAGACAAACGGCGGGCAAAGGAAAAAATAAGCTATATAAGGCAATAGAGAGTGAATGAACTTGCTATTTTAAAACTGTATGTATAATGATTATTTTGATAATAAGAAAGAAAATATGAAGCGAAGAAGTTTAAGCGAAAATGCTGCAAAGTTGACTAAGCCGTTTGACTCCCTCATATAAACAAACATCCAGACCAGGTGTTTGTCAGATAAATTCCGTTAATTTAAATTTGACTGCGCGTCTTAATGTACAAACTTTAGAAGGATATTGGGCCTTACTTGTATGCCTTATCTGTCGTATTAACATGCTAAAAGTTTTAAAATATATTCTAAAACAGAATACAAAGCTTTCACCCAGCTAAATGCTACACGTCCCTGAGTGGAGAAAGAGACAACAGCCGTGTACGGCCTCAGGGCCCGTCAAACTCTACCATTAGGTAAGAGTAACTATCGATTTTTATTAAAAGCCCATCAAGGCAAGACGATATATATACAATTAAAATATTTACAACAAGCACACAAGTTTTTGTCCAACGACTTTGCCTAAAACATCATTTGCACACCAGGTGACTCGAAACATGTCCCGATCTAAATCGAAAAATTCCATTTTCAACCTGTTGGACACATGACGAAATCATCTTATACGAGTTCCGTCCTTTCCATGCTGCAAACTTCGCAACTGAGATAATGTACCTAGTTAAGTCGCTGTTAATCCTTGAACCAGTTTTTCCCAAAAGAAGAGCCCTTTCTGAAAACGCTGTTATTTTTTTTTTTCATTTATTAGTTTCGCCATATTACAATACACAATACTGTATAACAAGAACAAGAATAATATACATGACTATAGGCAGGGTGACCGCAACAGCGTGAGCCAATTACTGCGGGCCCGAATTAGGAGTACAAACATAAAAAAAACTATCTAAATAAAACTATAACTAATAGCAGCACTTAAAGGCGGATGATCAGAAAAGTGCCATGGTTGAATACCAGATACTATCTTACTATCATCCACCAAATCCAAAGAAATATAAAATTTGATCTAACCGAGGCATTACAGTCCGCGTTTGACCAAGTACAAATTTTCAATGGCTACCAATACTCCCGTTAGGATTTCCCCCCAAGCGGTCCATAGCTATGTCCAAAACCAAATTAAAGTCACCGCCCATGATTACTTTACGGCGGGTTAACAGATATTTGTCCAGCTGCGACAAGAAATCTAATCGTTTTGCACCAACAGTAGGAGCATAAATATTGACAACCCGTAGAGGTGTTCCAATTTTTAAAGGTCAAACCGCAAACACACACTCTGCCATCAAAATCAAACGAAATACCCTCGAACTTTGCAGCATCACGGATTAAAATACCAAAATCCCGACTATGAACAGTTCCAACACTGCAAAATCATCGACATCGACATTCAGCATTCCACTGCATGCATTCCCGATTGTTGAGTATCCTCGCTGGTGTCTTGCAACAGCGCAATATCATATTCATAACGATTTAGATAATCAAACATTTAAGTATTAAACTACGACGTTTAGGATCTCTCATGCCATTAACATTCAGAGATATTACCGATAGCGAAGAATTAACCATCACTTAGGTTTTTTAGGTTTCTTCCGTACCGCTTCAACGGTTCTTCATCTAAGTCCATACTTTCGGTATCCTTTAAAGAATCAACTTCACGGGAACTGGACCGGTTGAGATCCTGGGATTACGACTTCATAATGCATTGGGACTGAGTGGAGTCCTGGGACTCAGGAGGGGGACCTGGGACTCAGGGGAGGGGTGTGTGTCCTGGGACTCAGGGGGTGCGCTTTTTGGGCTACTCAGGATTCACGTTACGCCGATCTGCTTCCATTAATTCGGCGGTTACTGGTGCCGCCGTGCTAGCGACACGGGCGGTGGGATTATCAGCAGAAGTTGGTGTTACTCGTGGGTGCTGTAACTCAGGGCAGTTCTCTCGAACATGCCAACTTTCAATCATGGGGAAGCCATGCTCTGTCGTCATTTCTCGTGTTATCGTCTCCACTTTCCCATGATTACCAAGAAACTCCGCAACGACTTTATTGGGCACTTCGCTAGGAACATACAACACTTTCACCTCCACAATTGGATTCTCAATCGGCTGCACTTCGATTTTAACATCTTTAATGTTAAAAAGTTGAGATTAGTAGGTTGAGATAAGAAACCCAGTTTAGCTTCGTTAGTACGAATGTGACCCTATATTGACTATAGGGCATCGACTGCACAACTTTAACGACATCCACACCAACAACATAAACAATCGCTTGAATATTCTTAACTCGATAATTCACTTTAATGCAAGCTGGTATGCATGAAATTGCAGTGAATGTTATCGTTCATTATAAAGCTAGCGCATCAGTTGTGTTTTTATGTTTGTTTATAATGGTCTTAATACTTTATGTGGAGTTTTTATACTTCATCTGTTAAGAAAGGCGAGGGGTTGCTGCATGCATGTATTTTCTAGTTAACTAAGGTATTGAATTCGACTGTATCCCGAAGTCGTCTGAGAATAGCAAGGCCTGAGGTGACCTTTTTTGAAATGCGTTCGACTTCGACCTGCGCGGTCCAGTTTAGAGACTCGTCTATCATTCAGGCCCAATGATTTTGTTGTTTCAACTCTCTTAATTTCTAAGTTACCTACACTGATAGCCAAAGGTTCCAACCCTCCCGATTTGATCGGGAGGCTCCCGATTTCTTGGCAAATCTCCCGATTTATATTTAAACCTCCCGATTTTACGAATGAAAAGAAAAAATGTTACTTTTTCTAAAAGAATCCTTGTAAAAGCCGTTCGCGTACGGTAAAAACGGTTGTCGGATCGACAAAAAAGCGGTATTTCGCCAAGAGGGGTGTTTTGTACGACAAAGTTTCGTAATATTTCGCATGAAAGGCGGAAATTTACAGTTGTTGTATTCACGAGTCTCGGAATCAAGAAATGGCGCTTCTGAAAGAAAGTTTAAATTTTCTACCTAGTCACACTAGAGGTCAACGTTTTCTTGCCTTTACCAGACCTCCCGATTTTTGGATGTCAAGTTGGAACGTCTGTGATAGCAGGATCGGCAGTCACTTGACTAAGCCTTTTCTTGGAACCAATTATCATATATTCGGTTTTACTATTGTTCAGAGTTAATTTGTTTGCTGACAGCCAATTTGCAACATTGTTTAAATCTCTATTTAATGTTTCAGTGATTACTTTGATATCGTCACTTGATGTTGCAATTTGGGTGTCATCCGCAAACATGTCTGGTTTTGCCCCGGCCTTTAATTATTTTAAACATTTTGGTAAATTCATTGATGTAAATTAGAAATAACAATGGGCCTAAACCAGAACCCTGAGGTATGCCTGTTTTCATAATTGATGGACTTGATAGTTTACCATTCACACTACAGCACTGGGTCCTATTTGATAGATACGACTCCAGCCAGCGATGTGCCGTAACTGCCGTTCCCTTTATTCCATAAGTTGCTATTTTGTCTAAGAGTATATTATGGTCGACAGTATCGAATGCTTTTTTCAGATCCAGAAACACACTCCCATTTAGTTTCCCAATGTCAATATTTGTATACCACTCGTTGGTTATGTTCAGTAATGCTGTAACAGTTGAGTGTAACCAGGTTTTTTCAGGGGAAATTACCACATCCGGTTTCATAATTACTACATTCGGTCTAAAATTACCATGGTGCCATATTTTTCCATAATTTTTCAAAAAAATGTCCATATTACCCCCAAAAATGTTGGCGAGGGGGGGGGGATTTTTTTGTACACCAAAATTTTCCCGAAGAACTACCTCTTAATTTAGGGTTCAAAAAAAAATTTTCGGACAAATAACAAGTAAAACATGGCCAAAACCCGTTTTTTTCACCAAAATCTGTAAAATTTAGGGGTTTTTCACCAAAATCTGTACAATTAAGGTCTGGAAATTTCAAATTACCACAATCGGTCAAAATTGACGAAAAATTACCACGGTAGTTCTGGAATTACCGTAGTATTTACCACAATCCTCCAAAAATGACGAAAAATTACCACGGTGGTAATAAAATTACTACACTGAGTGTAACTCAGGAAATTTATACAATAATATCGGCTCTTTCGCTTGTGGGACGTGAAATGATATAATGCGCATGCTTAACCACATTAAAGTGTGTGTGATGCGCATGTTCAACCTTAGTTGACGTCCCATAACCGTAACCTATCGAGGTCCGAGGACAATAGCAAATGGGTGTGATAGATTTATAAACAAAAACCTCATGGTCGGTCTTTCATTGACATTGAAATTCAACACCTCAGCGCTGCGCGCCTCGGTCTTGAATTTCAACCAAAGACCTCCCATTCAGTTTTTTTTCAACTAGGAAGTTTTTGCAACATGCAGTGGCTCAAGTTTGGTTGGGTTTTACATTAATATAGTTTCTTGTCTTTTTAATGTCAGCGCCAGTTTTGTTATGGATGCAGCAAGCCATGCTCTGTATGCAGGTATAACACACACTAAGGGAGGTGACATTTCAGTACAGATTTTCACTAACAATGTGGAAGTAGCAAAAGAATTAATAAATAAAGTTGGTGGAAAAGTAGGCCTCGGCATAGGAGTGACACTTGGTGCTTTACTTGCCTATAAAGTTTTCAAACCATTAATCGAAGACGCTGTTAGAAATGGTTTTGGTGGTGAAAGAGATGACCAAGAAGTTAAGGATATCAGGCAAGGATCTCTACAAGTTCTACTGCATTGTTTTACGGATGAGAGATTTTTGGAAGTTTTAGAAGAGATTGAATCTGGAACAATGAAAGAACATTTGCGCAAAGAATTTTTTGACATTGGTGTTGAAACAGAAGACCTAATAGTGAAGATTGAAAACATACAAGAAGTGAACAAAACAAAGGAAGCTATAAGCAAGAGGTATAAAAGTAATTGTGCTATTTTGTCAATCACTGGGTATTATACCTTCCGGCTTATTCACTCATATCGTCTAATATATTAGACACTAAGAAACGTCTACATGTATATATAACCCTGAGTAATTTGACTAAAAAACGTGAGTAAAATAATGCACCCACAGTGACTCAAAAATTACTCAAATTTATGAGCAAATTTATACTCAATTTTTGAACAAAGTTTCAAATTTACTGAAGTAAAGATTTATAAGTAAAGATGTATTATTATAAAATAAATAACAATGTACAATATAATATTAATGTTTGTGATGTTACTCTGAGTGTATATCCACACCGGGCAAGCTTGAAAAATATGCCTGGCCACGGTGGGAATCGAACCTACGACCTTTGGAATACTAGCCCAATGCTCTGCCAACTGAGTTACGCGGTCAGGTCGGTTCGAGGGCTACTATTCCAAAGGTCGTAGGTTCGATTCCCACCGGCATATTTTTCAAGCTTGTCCGGTGTGGATATACACTCAGAGTAACATCACAAACATATTCACCTGAGTACATGACACCAACACAGAAAAATATCATGATTACTAGATTGCATTGATATCGAAGGAACTAGACTCAGTTCCGAAATATCACATACTCGAACCGACATCACCGCGTAGCTCAGTTGGCAGAGCATTGGGCTACCGTGGCCAGGCATATTTTTCAAGCTTGCCCGGTGTGGATATGATATGATATGATATGACATGATATGCTTATTTTAAACTTAATATTATATTCTGTGTTGGTGTTATGTACTCAGGTGAATATCAGAATATCAAGAATATCTTGAGTGTACTCAAGAGTAACATCACAAACATCTGATATTCACCTGAGTACATAACACCAACACAGAATATAATATTAAGTTTAAAATAAGCATATCATGTCTAAATTGGAAGAAGTTATTTCGCTGACCTCAGAATGACATTTCGTCAAAACTTTTTTCTTCAAGATTGGATTGATTTAGAAACAAACTTGGAGTAGGGTTAGGTTGGGGTTAGGGTTAGAGTTGGTGTTTGAAATAGGGTTAGTGTTAGTAAAACCGTTGCTTTGTTACGTTTTGTTGCTCTGAGGCCAGCGAAATAACCTCTTCCGTCTAAATCAACGGTATATAGTGGTTAAACATTCAAAGCAGTAGCTACTAAATAGGGAAGAGCCTGGGAACGAGGTTGCAATAGCTATCGGAAAAAAAGAATAGTCTGTCTGTCTCAGTGCTTCCATTTTCAAAATCAGAATTTCTCATTTTTTTCATCAAAATTTCTCTAAATTCCTTAGATTGTATACGTTATTTCCTTGAAATTTCATAAAGCAGTTTGCAGTGATTTAATTAATTTTAAAGGCACAAAATAGCACAATTGACACAGATGTGGGCTAGATAAAAAACACAGGCTATTTTTATGAGTTTACAACGATTCCACTGATATAATGCCGACGCTTCCAGCTATAGACTAAATTTTGATCCAGACAAGAAGGACAGAATCTATATTATTATAGGCGGATATAGCTCAAAATGCACCACTTTCGGCTCAAAGTGGTGCATTTTCCCACGCGTAATACTAAAATACTCAAAATTTGCTAATTTCACCACAGGCGGCCCAATTTTACCCTGTGTTATTAATTTATTACGTTATATCTTTATATAAATAGTATATTGAAAATCATTAGAAAATCCTGTGTTATTAATTTATGAAAAGCACTTACATGTGTTTCCTGAAAGATTATAACGAGCACCGGCCAAGATTGGCGTTGACAAGAGGTTAACGGCCATAGTTGGGGTTGACATAAGGATTAACAGCAGGAAATAATAGAAGGCTGGTCACTTTGACCGTTAATTGGACTAATTGGGACAAACGCTGACAGAAATCAATCGAATAACGCGAACTTCGGCTGTCGCATCCTCGCCAAATTACGTTACATCGGAAGAGCGATAATTTTTACATCATATACTTTTCTTTAACAGAATTTAACAATAATCTTCCTGCAGAAAATGCCAGTTGAAACTTGCAAATGTCTAATCTTCCGAGGTTTGTGACCGATCTGAATTCATGGCCTTCAAATTCGAATTACACGCTGCATTGTCATTGGTCGGCTTTCAAAACAACAAATTAGTTCGGTCACAAATAGGCCTTTATAGATTGTGCTCGGCAACTTATGAGCAACTTTTGGAGTTTTGAGCAACTTTTTGCCTTTCGAGCAACCTCGAGCAACTTTTGACTGTTTAAGCACCAAATGAGCAACTTTCAACTTTTTTAAGCACAGAATGAACATTTGGGGATATAAAAGATTAAATCAAATATTTAATTTAATGAAATAACAAATTTTGACAATAAAGAATGTCGTAGGCCGTAGGGATCATTGTTAATGTGCGCCCATGAATGCTATTGGACAATGGACTGCAGTAATTATTTAAAGATGCCTGCGAACAACAATTGAAATTTACAGCGGTTATTCGATGAGATGTAAATAATCACCCGTTCCGCACGTTGTAACCAATAATCTATTGGCGTTGTAATAATGCCATTGTATGCAATAAAGTATTGGGTTGTAATGGAAGACAAAACCACAAGAATTAGACAACAGTTTTAGTTATAAATGTAATTGGCCTAGCTTGGTGGATGGTCGGGAGGCGGTAGGGAACTTTCCCCGGAGGGGTAGCGGGCCGCCGGCGGCTTTAGGGTTAGGGGTTAGGAGGTGGGGGTTAGGGGTTAGGAGGTGGGGGTTGGGGGTTAGGGGTTAGGATTAGGGTTTGGATTAGGATTAACGTTTGGATTAATCGTAGACCCATTACAACCCAATACTTTATTGCATACAATGGCATTACAACGCCAATAAATTATTGGTTACAACGTGCGGAACGGCTGAAATAATGAACGAAAAAGGATAAAATGGCATATTTTCATCCATGGCAGAGCACCATTCAAGCGAATCTAACTCCTCTGATTCTGACATTGAAGAAATCGACGTTATGATCCAATATTGGTAGCCACGAATGCTGGAGCAAGCCTAACTGTTCCACAAAGCGCTTCAATTTCTCGTAAGCGAAAAATACATGTCAACCAAGGCAAATACAAAGGAAGAGGAAGCAGTTTGTCTGCAGTCAAGAGTGTAAGTACTTGGGACAGGTTGAAGGAATATCCAAATCAA